TCTTTAGGTATGTCTAAAGAGAATAGCTAGTTACTCAGGTCAGCCAACTGAAACAGGCAAAACTCACACCAAAAATAGTATGAATGTTGTACCTTCATGACATTGTGTTTAATCTTAATTATATGGGTGTAGGATTGAAAATGTTCTTGGCATCACTGTTTGCAGAAGATTACATGCACTGCAGGGCATATAAAAAAAAAAAACAGAACTGCACAAGTGATTATAACCCTTCTGTAGAAATTTGGTGGGTACAGTGCTGAGTGCCCCCCCCCCCCATGCAGAGTGTGACAATTTGGGAAGAAAAATAAGATTTAGAACCATTTTAAAGTCAAATTTGTATTACAAAATGTAATTCTTGCTCAGTTTTTAACTGCACAAATTCCAATTCAGAATTACACAAAATATTTCAAAACTGCACCTGTTACTAATGTGAGTAGCTACATTTGACTGGCATGACCTTCATCTTTCACCTCCTATCTCTGTGCCTTTCCAGCTTTTCTTTCTTTTCTCAGGTCATTTGCTCATTACATCTTTCTGCACCCCCACCCTTGGGGAAGAGCGGAATGGAGATGTTGAAGAGAGATTTGAGCATGGGTTTGGGGGGGGAGGGAGGGGTTCAGACACCCTCACCCCCCCCTACCCCCTTGGTTGTGCTCCTGGCCATAAGGAGCAAGCAGAACCCACTTATGGAGAATGCCTGCCCTTTAAGTGAAAAATTGCTGAGCAGCAGATGCCCTCTGATGCATAGTACTGGGTGACCCAAAAGTTCTTTAATATTTTTGGGAAGGAGTGGTGGTAGAAAGATGAAATGACGTACATGGATTCCCAAATGGTCCTTGTTAACAAAATGATCCAGAAAAAATAAAACATCATAACAGAACAAAGGCCATCACTAATCTCCACAGGTTCCAAAACTTATTGACGAGTTGCCTGATGGCGAAGTCTGATGGTCCTGCTTTGTGGAACCGACATCAGTGCAACTCCGACCAGTATGACATAGGTTTATGATCTCAATTCGCTCTCTGTGGTGAATGTGTTGCCAGGGTCGGGGAGCAGCCTCAATTGATAGGCGGGATGGGCTTGCAGGTCACAGCATTATCCCCCACCCCCACCCTCTACTATGGGGTTTGGAGATGGACGGGTGACATGTTTTGTAAACAAGGCCAGTATGGGAGCTGGTGTATGCCATTTTATCTTTCTGCCACTGCTCCATACAAAATATTGTAAGGGACTTTTGGGTCACCCTGTAGACAAAGTCTCAGTACTCTACTGAATCTGTGAAAAGCATGAATATCACAGCCAATTACTTCTGAGTAAACTTAGACACTTATTAGTCACTCATGACTCTTCATACCAACTCAACAGAGATGGGCGAAGCAATGTTTAAATACAAATATGCCCATGAGAAAAAATCCCCCTCCAAGAAAGTCAATCTGAATTCAATGAGGCACTTGGAAAACAGTCAGCTTACATTTTTAGCTGGGGATGACTTTGTTTAGAAGTACCAGATAATATCTTTGTCTCTCTCAATGCTGTCATCTTGGGAGGTTAGGCAACATTGAACACTGTTAGAACTCCATCAGGCATCAGATGTATTCAACCATTAGCATGAGGATTCTCATATTGAGAGTCTTCCAAGTTGACCTTCAACAAAAAAAAACACTACTGTCATTCCAAATGTTTGCTTATTATTATGCCTAAAAGACACCCAATTAGAACTAATGTCTCAGCCAAATCAGTCTTCAATCAAGTTTAACATCAGTTGAATCTGGGTCATGAAAAGTTTTCATTAATCTAAGTTTTCAACACTAGAACTACCAGAGTGGTCATTTTGACCACTTGCTGTTTTTAAATGCACTTTACTTCATTTGTTTGGCAACTAAAGGCATCTGCATTTTTTCACTTTTCTATCTAATACATTATCCACATTTTGAACATACCAAATAACATCTGGGGAAAAAAAGAGCAAAAATGTTACAGGACAATAATTTTATACTACCTTTAACACAGCTATCAAAATGACTGCTCCAGTAGTTATGGTGTTGCAGAAATGACTCCGAAGGGAGGTATACATGGAGCCCCACATTAAATAAATGTCAATTTTATATTTGAGGAAACAAATCCCAATTATTTCAGGTTGGAGTTTGGACATCCTCCCAACCTCTCTTTCTCAATTCTACAGGGTGAATACTAAGTCCTGTTACCCCTAACATTTCTTTTTTTTTTTTTTGCTCTCATTTCAGATTAACAAGTGTAACCTTAGCAATGTAAGATTGCAGATACCAGTAATTACAACATAGAAGAATGAATAGTAGTCAACACATGAGCTCACAAAAGACCCCATACTGGCAAGACAAAGGTGGAAATCCAAAATGACTTTCAAGCCAGGTTCAACAAGGATGCACCACCTAAATGACCACATTAAGATGGGTGCATAAGCTACTTGTTACAGGAAGTGTCAAGGGCAAACCATGGACTGGACAATTGTAATTAAAGAATTTTATTTTCAATTATGCAGATTTTCCATTTCCGTTTTCCATGAGGGGTAACAGGACTTCATACACATACTGTCATCAGGCATGTCTCTGATTCTCTCAATAGGCTCCTTGTAAATGGTTATCTCACATCCAACTTTGTCATTCAAGAAATGCAATTCTTTTTGGATTGTATCAATAAAAAATGATGTCCTCTTTTAAGTGTCACATGTACAAAGTCCCATGGCTTTAGGAATAATTCGACGGCCTGGTGTTTTGCTGGTTCGCCTACTTCAAGCAGTCCTGCTTCTGATTATCCCATTACCGTTTAATTCCTTTCCCTCCCATAATATACAGGGTGGCGCAAAAGTCGCGCACCATAGAGGATTTCACTGTTGCACTACATTAATTCTTGTCTCTTCCATTGGAAGTAACTGATGGCAGCAAAATTAACAAAAGACGCGAGGGTGGAGTTAAGATATGTTCAAACATTACTACGTGTACTACGAATCGAAGTGATTTCAAGTTAATGGCAAACTATTCGAACATTTACTGTAATTTACTATGGTGTGTAATTTACTATGGTGCGCAACTTTTGCACCACCCTGTACATCTTTGGCTTAATGAGACCCAAGTTTTCTCTGCAGGGATATCTCAGTCTAGCGAAAATAAAACTTGGAACGTTATCGTTAGGGATATGTAAATATGACATAACAGGCACAACTGAAAATGCAGCAGGTGGTTGGCTCCAACATAACTTTGGCTACGATCTAATGTTAGATTAATGTTAGTCTGAAACTCATCTCTCAGAAGCTTGCTTAATTGCCCGTCGGCCCTGTCGGGCCACACCTGAACTCAAACAATGCCTATTTGCACTCTTGTGTGGGCAGGATGGAGCAGAACATCCTGGCACCTTCACCCAAAGTTAGGAGAAATAAAGCATTTGACACGGATCCATCATGGGCTATCATTTTACCCACAGTTTGTTCGTCCTTTGGTTAGCAACAGCGCCAGATAAGGGGGAAGGGAATAGTCCATCAGGAAACTCCTCAGTGATTTCGTGATGGGTTCACATCAGTGGTTCACGTATCCCAATAGGTGCGCTGGCGCTATTCAGTGTTTCGACTCAGGGGACATCTACCGAATACAAGACGGCGTTTCATGCAAGATAGGAAAGATGGAAGAAAGCTTTAGTTTCGTTGGCGTTGGTTGGTAGGCCCATAGAAAATTGGTTTGCACTTCGCTGGTATGTGCACTTCTCGCGAAATCACTGTAGGCTCCGTTTGAGAAAAGCGAATATCATGGCGCATGGGGTATGCAGCATAAAAGACTTCCACCCACTGCATTTTCAATTTTTTTTTTTTGTGCGGTCTTGGTCCTGTGTTATGTATCGTTTTGCCAATACTATGCCACGGTCATTCCCAATGTCCTCCATAGTATAGCTGTCTGCTACAGTGTTTTTCACTTGAGTTCGACACCCATGCACGTGCGTCTGAGTCAAGTGAAAAATTGTCTAACTCAAGTGGAAAACATTGTATGGAAGGATCACAGCATACTGGCGCAACCCTTAGCAGCAATCCATGAAGAGGTCAAGAGAATAGCTTCATACTGGCCGGCAACGCGAAGGTTTTAAGATTAATGTTTGGGCTGAGTTAATGTTAGATAGGCCTGTAGGATTTTATTTTTATTTTATCAAATTAGCCTAACGTTAGTCCTACATTCCCTTGGCCTCTGTGGTAATTTTAGGTCTTAAGTCTGGGGCAGCGTAGAGTACATTCTTGAGGTCTCTAGTGTATTCAATCTAAAATCAATGTAACCAAGATCTATAATTGTTCTATAATTAGATGTGACTTTAGCTGAAAACATAGACCAGGGCTAAGAACTAATAAGGTACACTGAGACTTTGTATACTTTCAGACAATAGGTCTTGCATGCGTGTCAAATATGACTTGGCCAGAGGCTAGTAGGTCCAAGGCCAGGACTAACCTATGAATAGAGAACTGGTCTAGGCCTAACAAGTGTCCTTAATGGTAATGCCCATTGGGGCATTAGTAACTGCACTTACATAGTAAGTAGTACATTTATAAGTACATAGAAATGGGTTAAGTTACTTTTGGATCAGCCTTTATATAGTTCAGAGTTCATTTGACTTTTTTTAAATGCATATTTAGCTGTGCTTAGTACTGGACAAGAGTTGTGATACATGTGCTACTTGGTACAATATCAAGGAGGATTTTTGTGAGAAAAACTTGCTTGCCCACATGATGGTGGCTGGCAGATGGTTATATAATGGAGGATCACCTATTATAAACTTATGGGGAAGATTTGTATGCAGGAAGAAGTTGGAAACATGAGAGGGTGGCAGTATATTGAGGGTTTACTGTATTTGTAGTCTGTCTTGCATCAGATTTGGTTTTCAATTCATATTACAGCTGAGTTTGAAAAGTGCATGCTGTTAGGTTAGACATAGTCATGGCCTACATTTCTTCCTACTAGGTCTACCTCAATATACCCCTGTTGGTGTACTTCCAGATTCAGTCATCCATATTTCTCAAAGCTAGCCCTATGGTAACACAGGCATGCAAGTGTCTCAATATCAAAGTGTACCTCAATGCAGAGCCAAAAGATGCCTCCAATGTTGTTCCAGATGATGCACAATGTCATGTTTTCTTCACTCAGGTCAGGAATTTATCTAATGACAGCCACATGTTTTCAGTCAGTTTAACAGCATGTAGAATTATCTTTAAGAAGTAGTCTGTAGGTTGCCAATATCTAAAATGGAGTTGCCTCCACCTTTTGCTTGGGCAGAAACTGTCAGAGGGACAGCTGAGCATTGGTGGGATAGTTCTTGAGCATCGTTTGCTGACACAGAGTGTTGAACTGAAGAATTGGATTGTGTATGAGTGCCTCAACTGTCAAATGTTCACCCATGCGACAAGAAAATATGATGCCTCTGGATTTGTGCTTCTTGGGTCAGATTTGCTGGTGAGATAGTTGTTGACAGTTTTTTTTTCTCTCTGTGACTCTTAAGTGAGGCTTGCATTCATCTTCTGCTAGGAAAAGGAATAAGCTATTGCATTTAAGCCAAATGTATGATTATTGTCCTTAGAAAGGACCAGAGTTTTCCAGTATAGAAGCATCCAGTGGATATTCTCCTGTGTACAAAATCATCATACCTGAGAAAGCTGGAAGTCATGATGTGGAACACAAGAAAAGTGAGGTGATCTTCTTCATGTTCACTTCAATAACATGGTGGTTGAGGGTGATTTCTTGAAGACTGTGACATAATGCTTATTTCTGTAATATGATTGCATTAATGCAAAGATTGAAAGTGTCATATTGGCAGCAGTTGCCATCTGAAGGAATGCATTTTACATATTTACTGGCATTCAATTTTCATTAACTTTCAACAAATTCCAGAGATCCAAATGGGATTTTTGCAGTTGGAGTAGAAATGACTGGGGCAGTGATGGAGCATGGCCTTCAAGCACTAACTGAACAATTAGAGAAGTACCTGAAAGTGGAAGAGTTGAAGATGGAGGATAGAATTTTCAACTATTCATGCCAACAGAAAGCTTCCTTCAGGCAATTGGAAGAAGTTGCCAAACAGGACAAGTCTCTCATGTTGAGGTGCTGGCACCATACCAACATTTAATTTCTCAACTAAATCAATTCTTAGATTGGCTATCTTTCCATAGCCAATCTAAGAAAGGATTTAATGAAATTTTTTGATAACAGCATAGTTTGTACAGTCTTTACATGTCAACGGTAACTATGGAAGGACCATTGGAGTCAAAAGGAGCATCTGAAGTCCAGTTACTTGATACCAGTCAGCATCTCACGCCACCCATGACACCTGAAGAAGCACACAGGAATGAGGCAATGGAGGATGATATTCCACCTAGGATGATACAGTTTCCTAAATCAGCTCCAGTTGCATTCCCAGTGGGTTCAATTTGGATTGACACGAGTACCAGAAATTTAGTTGGTGTTTTACTTCATTTTCAAGGGTGTACTTCTTGAAATAGAGCATGAATGTTGGAGGAAGACATGGAAATGGTGTAAAGAGGAAGAATAAACATCCTCCTCAAAGACTGGCTTGCTCTCTGGACACTGAAGGTGTCTTCAATATGGATGAAATGGAAGATGAGATCATGCAGCCTGGCTACCCATCAGAGGAAGACATCAATTATGAAGGTGAATCATGGATGACTATTAGCAACTTATGTGATTGTTTGATTAGATTGATTTTACTAATTGTTTACTTTGCCTGTTATTCCTCTTTGTGTAACCAATGAATCTTTCATTTCCAGAGGAGTGTACTGAAAGTACTCCAGGTCATCAAACTGCATTGCATCAGCTGGGTACATCTCTTCCTGTGAATGTCCCAATCAGAAATGCAGCTGCTGTTCATCAAGCGCAAGTATTTGAACCTCATGAAGAGGTTGGCAGAACTATCTTTTTAGGGCTATTGAATATAAATCCTTGCTGTGAGAGCATTAGCTTATTCTATAAACTCTGTAATGGGGACAATTAATAAAACAATGCTTTTCCTTTTCAGATAGGCTTGCAAACACTTATTTCACTACAATAGCTTGTATATTCTTGCCTTTCTTTGCAACAGGAGATGATTCCAGAGGATCCTCGTGATATTGCAGCATCGATCCAGGCTATTGCTCAAAGTGTTCAGGAGAACTCTGAGGATGTCTTTGGTGCATTACCCAGGCGTCGCCTCTCTTCCTTCCACAAAAATCTTGGCTGAGGATGGTTTCTCATGGCCTCCTGTTTTTCCATGGCTAACATGGGTGCTTACTCTATTTGTCTTCTGGAGTCTTTGTTTTCAACCTGTCTCATGACAAGGTTAGAGAGTAGCATGGGATGAGTGATAGGATTGATGGTAAATGAGAATGGCTCTTATTGTGCAGAAGGTATTGTTTTTTTCTTTTCGTTCTTGTGATGAGCTGCTGCCTAAAGAGTGAGACTGGTAGCAAATATTTCTATTTGTGCAATGATGTGAATTCTCAAGGATTTTGTGAGATGAATAAAGCTTTTTTGAAAACTGATCTTGAGCTGTTTCTCTTTTATATACAGGTAGCCCAGAGATTGAGGGAAGGGAATAAATAAGACAATTGAAAGCAGTCATAGTTTAATTTCAAAGCAAGGAGAGTTAACCTTGGGACTGAATCATATCCATCTGTGCAGAAACCAAAGCCTCCATGTTGCCTTGAATGGCAGCCAGACTGTCCCTCCAAGTATGGAGGACCTTCCTCAGCTGCTGCCACTGAGGTCTGCCAAATGTTCGATGCATGCAGTTACTCACCATCACCTTCTTTGTGAGCTGATCCATTCTAGCTCTGATCAACTTGGTCCGCAATGCTGAAATGACAATGTCATCCTCTGCTTGTTAGGATGTACCATATCATTTTTATGAGGAAAATTCATGCTATTTCTAATCAGTTTTCAAATAGCCAGGCAGTTTGGTGGCATATAATAGTTCCTTTTCTGATAGTGACAGAATGAAAACTAGAACCTCAATGACATTTCAAAGCTACCAACCATAGGTATTACCATAATTTTTTTTTAAAGACTTATTCCACCATAATTCCTTACATCAGAAAATTAATGGAGGCCTGAACAGAATTGTTCGGTGGACTGCTAGTTGGGCCATCCTGCTCTGTAATAAGAAAATTTCATGCCTGTTTCAATTTCACAAGGCACAAAGAATTGCAAAATGAAACCCTTGCCAATTTTTTTTGCATGAACAAATGGTTTATATAGGTACAGATATTGAAATTACTTTTAAAAAAAAACCAAATGATAAATATTGCAACATTAAATCTGCACTAAAATATCTTGCTACACCATTATCCTTTTACTAGCAGGGAGGCCAAATATCATGGGCGATGTAGATAGTTAGCACTTATGGATCAGGAATCCAGCTCAAGACATGAAATAGAATGATCAGAAAGATAAATGTGTACAGTATAAAGGGTCTGGATTCTACGCTTTTCATCTGAGTGTTTTTCACGAAGTTTCAGTTGACCTATTGTGTTTTAATTAGTGTTATACTGCATTCCAGGACATTCTGCACATTTTAGAGCATTTACAGGCATTTCAAGACATTTTGGATATAAATGAAAATCTTAAATTGACCTTTTTTTAGTTTTTTAAAAAAAGTTTTTATGACTTGGCATTTTCAGCAAACCACCATTTCTTGTAGTCTATTGACACCTGGCTGACCTCCCTGTCACATACAGTTCTCTGGGAATAAGCATGACAGGTGCCTTTTACATATGTTCCATTAAAAGCATCAGACAGGGTGACCATGAAGTCATCAACCCTCTGAGGAATAAGTCCATGTATTTACAGGGTGATACTATCCTGTCCTCCATTTATTTACTATAGGACATCTAGGCATCCACTCCTTAAAGAATTAAACTTGAATGATTTCATTCTCATAAAATTTTCTTAGAAACTTTTCAGATGATTTGAAGTATGCTATATCATATAGTTATTTAATTTTTAAGAAAATAGGACACAGGGCAGACACATGACACTTTTCAGTTCAAGTACAGGAGAAAAGAGGAAGCATGCTTGACATAAATACAACTGAAATCGGAGTTTCTTGGGCTCATGACAGACATGAGTGACCTTGAAGGTGTATTACACTAGTATCTCCTGAGTGTTGTACATAGTGGCAACTGTGTTACTTCGGTGCTAGGCAGATGCTCCAAGAAAGCCGGGGGTGTATTATATTATCTGCCTAAACGTCTATTGCCTTAACATGAGTAAACTTCTTCGGAGGTGAGTAAACTTCTTCGGAGGATGTCAAGCATGACACTCAAGTTTCTTAGCATTTATATCAAAATCTAAAGCTTAGCCTCCTGCTTTAGTTCAGGAAAATGATCCCCTCCACTTTCACCTTGCACTGCAGTGTGCCATATAGTGAGAGTGTTCAAATAAGAGTGAATGAGCTTTCCAAAGGGCCAAAACCAAGCAAAGGTATGTATGACTGTATGATATATTAAAATTACAATACAGGAGTGGCAACACAGGGAAGATAGAGACACTTAGTATGAGTGCAGGTTGCTAGGAATTTTAAGGGAATAATCTAGAAGAAACTTGATCAATTGAACAAAAGTAAGTTTTGATCTTAAATCAACAACCACATAATCCTGAATTCAAGCAATTTAGAACAAAACAACTTTAATTACAAATGAAGAGAAACTGAGGATCTCACTTGCCAAGCAAGTTAAATGGGCTCTCAAAAATGCAGGAAATATGTCTTCTTGACAAGAAATTGGGACTACTTGGGGCATTAAACTCATCATGATGTATTGAAAAAGATGTTTCACTGTGGACATTAAAATGTGGAAAATTTGTTTTTTCATCATTTATATTTCTTAATTCAGTTGTTAAACTGATATCTCACTCTCACCTAAGATTATGAAGAATCATGAGTGCCTGAGGAAGAAATACATATTTAAATGAGAAGTTTCCAGTGAAAATGTTTATGAATGTGCCATGTAAATAGTCCAGAATAACATATAAGGGCAGTTCCAAAGTTACTCATGTAACACCAGATTCAAAATCAAAACAAGTATGATGGTATAGGGTAAACACCCCAGTTCTTTGGCCACGCTGATATGACTCCCATGGGAAGTGGACACCCTGTGCGCACACCAGGAAACACTAGTAATAGATCCTTTGTGTGGGAAGTTGTTGATAGAATGCTTAGAAACGGCCAGATTAACTAATTATGCTGGATTTAAGCCTCACTGGCCAACAACTGGAAACGGCCAGAAAACCACTTTGTTTACCCTACTTTGAATATGGTCTGGTCCAGAAATTCTACTTCAACTGTATCTCATAGAACACTGTTACTAGCACCTATCGCAGCCAAAATTTTCACATTTCTCTCATTGATGAAGAAAATGAATGCCATTCATTTAGTGTTACTGACGTAGCACAGTTTGGACAGCAGTTTTTATCCTCCCGACTCTCTTCCAATTCCATCTTATTTAGCTCAACCTAGTGTTTCCATATTTTCAAGAAAGAACACATGGATAGTCACTTTCCTCCACACCAAATGGCATTTGTTGTCAACCAAAAATGAAGTGGCTGGGAGGGTTTTCCAGCGTTCACTGACAGCAAAACCATCCAAAATGAGGTTCACAGACAAGTGTTAAACGTATGAAATTGGAGTGTTGAAGGAGGAGTGAAAAACCATCTCATGTCATGTGATGCACGATTAGTGGATCTCTTATTTGGTTTAAGTTTAGTATCCATAATGTGTAGAAAAATTAAGTTGGCGTGAATTTTTGGAAAGTGTTTTTATACCACTTTTGTCCAAATAACTCTGGAACTGCCCAGAACTATTCAAGGCTGGGATTCAGGAAACACTCATAATCCAAAGCACAAGATACAAATGATAGGAGGCTAATATGGCCAATGCAACTGATACATCCTAGTATAATTTAACACTCTAAGGGCCTCATGAATTCCCACCTATATTTATATCCATATTGCCCTGGTAGCTAGCATGTTCACTTATTCTCCCTCAACAACTTTCACCACTTTTGTAAAACTGTGGGGAAAGAAACAGTCAAAGTGAAAGAGATGACAACCCTGCAAGTTACTTTTCCAGTTGCATGGACTGGACTGATACTGTATGCAAAGAACCAACTTGATAAGTTTCTCAGTTTGCATTCAACCTGTACCACTTGGCTTTGCCTTTGAGGTGAAGAAAATAAGCCAGCTCTTTATTTTATATATTTCACTTAGTTCTATCTCTATGGAATGGTCACATGTGAGCTGGATGATATGAAGTACTGATAGCTAAAACATATGGCTCATGATCATGTTTAGGCCTCACCATCAATGATGTACTGCTCTACTTCATCTTCTGGAATCTGGAGTTCCTTCTGGATGGAATCAAAAGAGATCTCATCTTCAGACTCAGCCATTTGGAGGAATGTCAAGAAGCGCATCTTCTTCACTAGGTCCTCATGCTTGAGATCTACAGAGATAAAGGTAGATACACACTAATATATCATGAATATCTAAGGAATTACTGGAGTTCTGAATTTTTCCCTAATGAACTCACTGAGGGACTCAATAAAGTCTTTGTGCTTGGAATAAAACTGCATATATTTCTCCAGCTTCTCACAAACAAAGATTAGGAGCAGATCAAAGATGAGTGTTCCCTCGAGAGACTTCACAGGCATTAGGTCCAACAGATGATCAAGGACAAATGTATTTGGATCAGCAAGAGAAGCAACTATGCAGTATTTTGCATCCTCCTTTGCCTGGGAAGCATTTTCAGGTGTGTAGGTTTTCAGCAATTCAACCATGACCTTAAAGGCCAAGTCCCTGAAGAAATAGAAAATGAAAACAAAGTATGTACTAACTGTACACCTCTGAGGAAAAGAATATCCACTAACTGATCAAAAGTCTAGATATCATTAAAATGCTGCAATTCAGGAATAGCTAAGTGATTTTAAGTGATCTATGGCCCATCTGATAGCCCCATGCTTAACTCAAATCTTGATCAATTTTTTATTCTACAAAGAAAAATAGGGCAATAGTGATCCTCATATAATGACGAATCCAAAATTTGTTGCTTGAAAAGGAAACTTAATGAGTTTTTATAAGAAAGAAAATGTAATGATTGTGTTGAAAGTCAAATGCTATCATTATGTCTGAAGCTGATGTTTACAGAATCATCAGGAAGTAGCCTTCCAATACTTTTCTGGTTCAAGATCCTTCCATTCTCAAGGAATTTGTGTTTCCACCACTTTTACCCCAAATTCTCCTTATTGCCGTTATCCATCACCAAATTTCACAGCTCATGGTACCATTTTTTGTTTTGTGCTGTCAGGCACAACCTTCACTCATTCCCACTTTAAGCTGTTATTTCCAAAGAAAAGGAAAACCCAGTAAGTTTTCATGCTCAAAAATGCAATTTTTAATCTTGTACCAAAATATCACTACTGCTATGGAATCTATAGAAAGGAAAATAAAGTATTAAAATTTAAGCTAAGAATGTAACTTTCAGATGAGCCTTATAACACTGGAAATTACTAAAGCATTCCTGAGCTACAATGTTTCAAATAAATATCAAAATCATACTATTTCCAGATCAAATTCAAATCTTGACCAGGGTTGGGAAGAGGGTTTTCTTTTTTTTATATAAAATCTTTTTTCAATGTAAGTTTTTTTTTTCATTATGTATTGTGCACCTCCAACTTGGTGTCTTCATTATCCATTGCTTAAGTGGCCATTGGAATATGGTAGACAATATTTATGTATACAATGTATACTTAAAAAACCTAGCTTCACCATCTATTATGCATAAGACTCCAGTCCCTGCCAGTCTCTGTGACCTTTTCTGATTTTGGTTCAATGGTGCTCCCATTCTATTCATTCATTGAAAGCAAAAGAGTGGACCTACAATGCTAACAAGGGCTATCAACAGCCTCTTCATAACTACTGTATATCTCACCTGTAGATGAAGGAAGGTGGAAGAAATTGTGAGCCACACATGCAATTGGCCAGCATCGGCATTACAGAGATATAAGGCATCCTATATAGGATCCAACAACCAAGTGGTATTTCTTGTACGAGGGCAGGCTGAAAATTTTTCAGTCTACGTAGGGAGGAGTGAGCAAAGATCAATCTAACGTCAAATTTTCAACATGGTCCCCTTGGACTTGTATGCTCTTATTCCACTGGCAGTAAAATGTCATTATTCCATTCCAGTAGAACAATACAGTAAAAACTCATTAACTCAAACTTTTTGAGACTGGGCAAATTGTTTCAAGTTATCTGAAGGAATTAATCTGAAGGAAACTAATCAGGAATTACCTCTCCCCATAAAAANAAAATGTCATTATTCCATTCCAGTAGAACAATACAGTAAAAACTCATTAACTCAAACTTTTTGAGACTGGGCAAATTGTTTCAAGTTATCTGAAGGAATTAATCTGAAGGAAACTAATCAGGAATTACCTCTCCCCATAAAAAATTTTTTTACTCACATTAAGTGAAATAATAGAGCAATTTTTCCATCCTTGAGAATCTGATTTCAAGGAATGACTACCATCTCATCATAATTGACTTTTATTCATGTCTATGGAAACTTGGATACTCCATATGCAAAATTCACTCATTCACCCTTCATCCGGTACTCCAAAAACCAAATATGACTGAAATAGCTGGAAGTGAGAGTAATAGGTAGACAGGGAAAGTGCTAGAGGTTGCTTCTTTTTATAGCAGAAGCTTTTCAGTTTTAATCCTCCCCAGAGGCATCTGTGAGGGAGGAGGGGGAAGCAGAAAAAAAACAAACAAAAGGATTTTCTCCCGAACAGGTTTCTTGCTTTTCACCTAACAAATCAATAGGTCCCACAATATTTTTTCCCCCCCTTCACACCCCGATTTCGAGTTAACCATAAGAAAATCATAATCAGGAGTGAAAATGTCATTTGAGACCTCCAGAAATTAGCAAATAAGCAAATTCAAAAGTTAAACTGAATATTTAACATTGGGTCTTACAGGATTCAGCCAGGACCAAGCATTGAACTTCAAGATAAGTGGAACTTTAACTTAACAGGATTCCAGTCAACAAGTTTTTACTGCACTTCCTTCTTAATGCACCAATCCCTCACAACATCCGCAACTTGACCAACATCGTTGAATTTTTTTGTCATGAAGGTGCTTCTTCATTCGAGGGATCAAGTAAATCTCAGAAGGGGCTAAGTCTGGTGAGTAAGGTGGTGGGTGGACAAACAGTTCAAAGCCACAGACTTTGATGGTGCTCAATGCAACATGTGACGTGTGTGATGGCATTTTTCATAAATATGTGATCTTCAGAACAAAATGTGTGGGAAAAGAAGAAAACGTTAGTATTTCAATGAAACTTGGTAACCAACATGACAATAAATAGTTTTACACTCAAAAACGTTTTGGACTATATTGAATGCCCCAATCCTAGTTAGGCAGAGAATTTTTCAGCCTGCCCTCATAAATAGACCTACTGATTCTATATAAAATAGAAAACATGACAATAAATAGTTTTACACTCAAAAACGTTTTGGACTATATTGAATGCCCCAATCCTAGTTAGGCAGAGAATTTTTCAGCCTGCCCTCATAAATAGACCTACTGATTCTATATAAAATAGAACTACAGCTTAGAAGTGTACATGTATCAGATATTATGAGTGTGCCATGAGATGACTTACCCATGACCATTACGAACAAGTGCCTTGTGAAGCAGTCGAAAAAGTTCTTGCATCTGCTCATTATTTGGAGGTGGTGATGCTTCACTTAAGGTGGACTTCAAGCTATTGACATCAGTGAAAATGGATTCTACCTGATCTGTCTCTCCAGCTATGTCCACCAGATAGCGATAGACAAGGTAACGCATGGGACAGTGCTTGTCAAGTCCATGGAATACCAAATTCAACCTGGAATGAAGAAGAATTTCAAAGATGATCAGGACAAATAATAGGCATGTAAGTGCTGAGGACAAATGGTTCTCTGGTGTTCCAGTCCTAGATGAGTTCTCCAATAATGGTGGTGTGACTGAGCTGGGTAATGACCTCCTTTTACTTATTTCCAATAACAATTTTAAAATGTACCAAATGTAAGCATAGGAGCATGCTTTGAAGCCATTATGTTCTCTGATCAGAATTTGGAATCATGAAATGTATGTGTTTGTTGTTGGTCATTTTTGTCTACTCTCTCTCTCATTCTCTCCTTTCTCCCCCACATAAGGCAGCTATGTATGGCATTTGGGTAGCCAGCCAGTTTTAGACTGCTCTACAGCCTTGAAATATAAGGTACTCCTACTCATGAAGGTTAGAAAATGTAAGAGTAAAACTTAAAAAAATTATGGGAGCCAAGTCACCAACAACTTGAGGTCAAACATAATTTTTATTTTCAGAGCATGTTGCCTTTTCTTCCATGTTCTCAGTTTTCAAAGTTATTGCTACATTTTTATTATTATTTTAGGATGCCCCTTCAGATAGCCAATGCATTTATGATGGGACAACCATAACACATTAATATACAGTATATTGGGTTAAGGGGGTCATCAAAGGATTTTGTCTTGATAATTGATCATTGTTGTCATTGGAAGAGTTCACAAATAGCTACCAAAGAAATTCAAAATGAAAATTCAAAGAGCACAGAGAGGAGGTCTTTGAAAGCATGATAGAAAAGTTAAGGTGCCTTCATGTGTAATGGTAACTAAAAGTTGGAATTTCAGGTTTTTTCACCTTCTCTGGCCTGACATTTTGCAAACTATCCTGAAGTTTGTGCTTGGCAGAAAATTATAGGGTCATCAAAGACTTAAGACTTTTACTTCTCACTAAAACTCAAGTACTTCTACTCAGCATGTACATAGGGGGACTAGAAAAGAAAGTCCCATAGTTTTCCATGGGAGAAGGACATCTTAGAATATGTGACCAAAACTGGAAGGTTAGGTCATCATTAGACAGCTATGAGGAGTTGAAATGAGAATAAGGTTTTTTTTTTTTTAAAGCCTTGTCTCAGATTTACAATGCTCTATAACACAATTTCCATCTCAAGTGTAGAAATGATCTGTGTTGGACCAACTTGAAATTCAATGAAAAATGATATGTAGTTGGAATATGATGAAATACCTTTCAGCCAAAATAGGTCCCTACAGCTGACATGGGCCAAGATATATGGATTTGAATTTACCAAAGGAGCAGAAAATGGCCCCTGGCTTTTCACCATTTCAACTTTCCAGCGTTACTGAACTGATTGCCAGAGCTTCAAATTTGTAATAAATTCCTAAAAATTCCCAATTTGAAGGTGAAAAAAATGTTGTGGGAATCACATCTCAAAATCACCTTGTAATTAAAGCCATTAACATAGTTTTATCTCCCTTTCTCCTAGCTTTATCAGTAAACTCAAGGAGGAGTGAGGAAGTTGATATATTGGAGGTGCAGGTAATTTTTTGCACTAATGGAAAATTTCAACCCACTACCCCACATATATTTCAGGCTTCCTTTGCTGCAGAGATCTACACTTACACAAATTACCATGAATTTGCAGAGAAAAGGAAAGCATTTGTTTGCCTTGAAAGATAGTTGTTATACTTGTCTCCAAAACTACTCGGATCTCTTAATTTTTAAAAGCACTCACACGCGCAATGCTGTAACCTTCAAAGATGCTGATGGAGCAAGGCTCACTTTCTTGCAAAAATTGGTCACCAATTCCTCAGAGCTGTCCCCTGGTAACTGAAATATAAGTGTTACATTAGGGATTATGAATAGATTATGTGCCACTTTTAGAAAAATATGAGATTACTGGAAGATTTACCATGACCAACATGGACACAATGCTGTTGAAGACAGCTTCCACATCCTGTTCACTTGTTTCCTCTTGATAAATGACATCACATACATTTATGATTTCAGCCAGGTCTTCCTCCACTCCCTTACTTGAAAGTTCTTCTGAGATATCAGCACCTTTCTCTTTCAAATAATTCTTCAGCTCCTCTGCCTGTTGAGGGGTAAAGTTCGCAAAGTCATTCTCTCAACAAATCATCAAGCATTAGTTTGGAATTAGCATCCCTCATGGATGATGAGGCTAATAATTCCTGAGTAGAGCTTTCCTTTGAATGGGATAAATATCCTTAACCTTGGAAAATTTTCAGAGGAATGTAGATATTGAGTAACCTCTGCAATTTTCTTCATATTCTTCTATTCTGTAGTTTCCAGGGGTTAATGGAAATGTGGAGTTCTTTTTCTTTAGCAAACAAAGACTTTTTTTAACACTTTATACTTGCTCAAATTTTGTGAATCATTCTTTAAAATATTATAAATTGCCACTGAAGACATGCTGTTACTGCAATAATATAAGCTCCACCTTGAAACAAAGTGCCTGCATTCATGAGATACTTTCACAGATGCACTTTACAAGTGTTCAGGAACTAGATATACAAATCAGTATATTTGCTTTAGAGAAAAGTTATATATCATCATGCAGAAATAGTGCAGTACAACCAAGAAAAACAGATGAGTGAAGGCATCAGACAAAAATTTAATCACTTTAACCACATGCAAAGTTTTGTGCTCCAGTACATGCAGGTATGCATAGGCACAACATACACATACCCCAAAGAAAAATAAGTGTCTCTAGAACAGGGGGTTGGGAACCTTTTCAGCCATGCAAGCCAAATACAGATGGAGCCAAGTGCTCATAAGCCAAAGATTTTCAAAACAACAGAATTTCCCTGAAGTTGGCAACAAACATGTCATTATTAACAGTGTGGTGGAATGGTTTGAGCATGGAAGCCTAGTCACCCTTTCTAAGCTTCCACCACAGAAACTAGAAAGTACATATTTTAAGAACCCCTCTCAATGTATATTAAGAAGAAATTACCGGTACTTACGTCTGCTGGGCATTATCACATTGACTGCCATTCATAACATGGTATTTGAAGAGGTGATTCTCCACCAGCATGCATTGCTTGGCAAGGACATTTAAGGGCATTTAAATCTCCAGCAGTCAATGTGTTTTGGAGTACTTAGGTTGTTGTGAATTGAATATTTCTTTGCTTACACAAATATAAATGCATATTTCCTGAATTTCTTTGAAACCCAATGCCAGTGCAGGGACAAAGCCCGTGGCAGTGGAAGTGTTAATTCAAAAATGTAAAATGATTCTTGTTTGCACATTATAGCCTTTTTTTTATTTCTCAAAAAATTCATTGGAAAATGAGTAAAATATATATTTTCTCTTCTGCAGCTTGTGAGCCAAATTTGGCTCTTGAGTCACAGGCTCCTCAAATGCTGCAGCATACAGAGTAGCCTGCAATTTATGGCAGATGGAGGTAAAAATGGGTAAGATTGAAAAAAATAACATGTAATGCATGTTATTTTTGCTGCATGCAAAATAACATGTAATAATGAGCACTCCTTAGAAAGTCTAAAGGCAGGCTCACTCTACCTGCTTGCTAGTGGAAAAACTTGAGATATAGAAAAGCTAGAATCAACACAAAATGTCAGTGCAAGACATGAAATTATAATGGGACTACCTGAGTTTCAACAGTGATGTCGATGAAGACTGGCACACTCATTCTTGTCCACTGGCAAAAAAAAAGATCCCAACCTACGAGACTATAAATTATTTCACTTAAATAAATCATTTCTTTCCCACTGACTGACACAAACTGAAAAGTGTCAGAAGAGTGAGAGGGTAAGTCTCTGCATCACTTTACCAGACATGCAAACATTACATTTTGCAGTCTATCAGCTCTATTACAACCTTAAAATGGCATTCATATGAGACTAGAAAGAGAAGGGAGCAAATTTTATTGCAACCATCCCTAAATATATGGCCTGAGGACATCAATCACAGCTCAGTACATCACAAACAGGTTCATGCTATTACCCAATAACAAGATTGCAATTGAATAATCACCATGATAGAATGTCAAAGAAAAGAAGTCTAATCAGCAAACTGCATCAATACACCAAGATAAAGCTGTACAGGTCACAGAAAAACTCATTAAGAATCTAATGACTACAGTTCCAGTCATAATCTAATCAATTTTCTCATTTTGAGCTTTTCATGAATCAAATTAAGCACAAACCAAGAAGAAAATCCATGTATGTCCAAAGTTAGCCCAATACCAGTCAAGCAGGCTGGATATTTGCTTACACCTGAAATATTAAGAAATTAACATTTTCAAAGAAGATTCAATCTTCACTGGGGCACTCTCAAAATGGTTCACTTCACTGATGCCATATGACCATAATACATCCATGAAGATACAAAATGTTATATCCTACCTTCCATGTGACTTAAAGAGACATAACAACTTATTATATCACATTATTTTCAGCAAATGACCATGGATAATTATAATTATGCCTTTGAGTCTTCCTTCATGTGTTAAGATGTACAATCTTCATCTGAGAAACCAATATTCTTTGAAACACTCAAAACCTATTGAAGTCATTGTCATAACAACCAGGCACCACTGCTGCCCTCAAGGTTTTGACAAAGAAATCTCAATCAATATCAATAAGAATGAATACATTAAAAGTCTAAAAGAGATTCACAAGTGCCCATATATTAATTACTTCTTGGATTCCTCCATCAACGGAAGACCAAGAGAGATCTAAAATTTCTCAACTGCAATTGTACCCTTCAACATTTGCACATTTTCTTTGCACATTCCAAAATTGAGCTTAGCAAGTGGACTAAAAGATATCAGCACTAAGTATTAGGTCACACTGTCATGCAGAATATGAAGTTTCATGGCACTTTACTTTCCTCTGCTTCATGGATGAAGGAAAAGTGAAGTCTGATCCAATTATGAGCTACAATAATAAAAATGCAGGCTGGAAAAGTATCAATGGAAACAATAGGCCCATAACTTCAGAAAACATCTCCATGCAATATGTGAAATGAGCATAAAAGGATAGCAGCTCAAGAGAACTAAAAAACATTTAACATCACACAATCAGAAACGTGGAATTTGGGTCACACAACAACAAAAGCTTCATCAAGGTCAGACTAAGACTCACAGAGGTTAAAGTGGTTCCAGTACAGTAGATATGTGCTGGTATGTCATTATGACATCTCTCAAAATGGGCATAGCCATACTGTCACATTTCATGAGTTGTTATAATATTTATTTCAATGTGTATCATCCCACCTTTCACTGCAGGGAAATTTTTACTTCATTGCCATTCATGCATCATTTTTAAAAAAATATTTTATAGACCAGTTTCTTCCACATTTAACCCTTTTTCCATTGGACTGAGTGAAAAGATTTCAGCCTGGAAGAAACCCAGCCCTAGTTCTTAGAGATTTTGTCAAAGCAATAACATCTATAAAGTACATGGGACTACCTCTGTTAGAAACAGGAGGATGAGGTCAAGATACACAGCTTTCTGAGTAATTTCATTTCTAGATCTTATGCCTGTAGATGTGGAATTACTCCCTTTGGCTAACAATTAGCAAGCCACTGTTCCTGAATTGCAACAAATTGTTTGGCAAAATGATTAACTGCAAGGAATGGGATATTCTGTATTAGATAAATACATCTGTAAGACATAACTTTCTCTCATGATTTTGATAAAATTTGAGTCATTCTTGTGTGTAAATGAGAAACTCAGGCATTCAACCCATTTGGTGGTCAGTGCCTTAGTTCTTAAAATATAGGGTCATGAACCAATTGCTACTTTTTTGACATAGTGGCACCTTATTACTTCATTCTTTACATAACTCTTGTCCTACTCAAGCTAGAGAGTTGATTTCTGGCTTTTTTCCCTTTGCTTTTGGCCTATGAGTGAAAAAAAAAGAATGCTTCCTGTTTGAGGCTTTAAAAAACCAACTACGAATCATCTTAGTTCATGATTTTTTTGTATCATGTTGTAAACACTGCAAAATTTGTTTTCTGAAAGCTTCATGAGTCTAGGTTGTCTGAATAAAAAAAAACAGTTATTCAAAGTGGAGTCATAAAATTTAACTTTCTGTGCATGATGCAGATGGAGTTTCAGCAATCTTTAAATTATTTCTCTCTGTTCACACCATAAAGACTGATTTTTATGTCATGTCCTTGTGTTCTACATAGTATCAATTCTGATACTATGATGTATGGCAGTAGTACTATCATATGACAGAATGCCTCAACAAGGACATGTCATAAAAAGCAGCCTTTATGGTGTCAATGGAGATAAATCATTTGAGCAGTGCTAAAACTCCACCCACCTCATGCGCAGAAAAGGTAAATTTTATTAATCCCTTTGAATGACTGTTTCTTTTTACTCAGACAACCTAGACTCATGAAACTTCCAGAAAACAAATTTTGCAGTGTTTACAACATGATACAAAAAAAATCATGAACCTAGATGATCCACACAGTGGGTTTTATAAAGCATCAAACAGAAGGTGTAAAGATTTCAGTCTGAAGTGTGCTACAAGGAGTAAGTAACCTGGATGCAAAAAGAAAACAGTACCATTAACACTTTAGTATTCTATACCCTCTGAGATCAAATCCTCAAAATATCCCATAATTATTTTTGAAATTCCAGTTACTGCATTATAGCTACAACAGGCTCAAATTATGAAATCCCAAAAGGGGTTTTTCAGCTATGTGAGGTCAAAGATCAAATTTCTCCAGCATTATTTGATGCAATGAGTCAAATCCAACCAACATGCTGTTTTCAGAAAGTGCAGAGGTCTTTAAATTGAGCCATAAATCAGCTAATCTATTTATCTCAATTAGAAGAGGAGGAGATATAAGGATATATATAAGGACATAAGATAAGGAGGAGATATAAATATGTCACCAGGTCATCAAATCAATGAAATTTTCATGAAAGCTCATCTCAAGGAGTTGGGAGCTCATGAAAAAATTTGTTTAAATGTGTTTCTCAATGGTACCAAAATTTTTTCATATTTCATCAAAATCACAGGCAATCATATAAAAAAAAATATTTTAAGGTATGCTGATTGGATGTGGGACAGCGTACGCACTTCTCACAAACCCTAGGAACTGATTTTTTCTTAGTTTTGAACAGTGCCATGAAACTTGCAACTGAATTCAAGCCAATGAACTAATTAATATGGCAAGAAGATGGAAGATGACCACGTGATTAAAAAATTTGAGAATCTCCTCCACCTTGCTCTTGTTCAATACTCAATGGATACCATACCTTGTTAGGACCATATTAATTTATGCACATTGATGTCTATTGAGGTGACCAAATGCCAATCTGACTCATGAAAATAAGGTTGATCAATGGAAATAGCTGCTTTCTGCACTATCCTCAGGTGAAAATTATATTGTTCTATCTCCACTTTTCACTGAATTTGACCTAATACACCCAATATTGGCTTTCATGTGCCATGTTTTTGGAGTGCTATACAGCAAACTTTGCATAAATTCATTAAATTCATCTTGTTCTAAGTGCCAAAGAACCAGAATTCTGAGTCCTTTTAAAGCTCTATGTCCATCTACTATTCAGAATAGTTCATTGACTCCTGACTTCATGCCAGTCAGGAACAGACTGTTATCAGAACAGTCATTCAGATAACAGCCAGGTTCAAGGATATAAAATAAGAATCTCATAAGAAAATGACATTTTAAGCATTTCCTTTTGCTCTGATGATCAGATTCACTTTCTTCCAAATTCAATCTAATGAACTTGGCTGCCTAAATATACAGGATCTAAAACTCATCCTGCATACGATTGGATGCCAGAAGGGAAGCAATGAAAGTATGCATGTGTACATTCATAGGAGTTCAGCAGTATTAATGTAATGATATTTGAAAGTTGATGTTACATTTTTCTCTAAAGTATATTTTATGGAGATAAGACAAAATAATCATCACTTAAGGTATATTTATATTTGGGAAACAAGATTCCTGTACCTCAGGCTTTCATTGAAATGCTAAAGATTCTGAATTGAAATTAGAGCTTGATACCATTTATTATGCAGGAACCAAATGATCAGGGGCACGCAAGCTAAACAGAATAATTAGATGAATATGTGCACCATGAACATGCCTTACTTCTTGCATCATATTCACACGATAAAACTAGACTGCCTCACAAATTTCATGACACGCTGAACTATTACCACAGTTATAGAATCCTAATCCCATAATTTCATGCATGAAGAGATTCCTTTATGATTTCCTTTATACTTTGAAAGAAAACTTAATATGGAGAAGATAGAGGACTTCTACTTCAGGGAGATGAGAACCACATGAAAAGAAAATGTGAAGCAAAGCCATCAGCAATCCAAGTTGCGGCAACAAGATAGCTTGGAACTGGATGGTTTGGAAATAGGATCTGACTCTCTATGTTTCTCCATTGAAGGAGCTGCTCGCTTCAGAATCCTGCATTCCCGTTCTCTTGTTCTCTCCACTGAGCTACAGGGACTGTAAAAAATCAAATATAGCACAAGTATTGAATCCCATACAAATAAATATTGCATCCCATGGCTTATCTTTGAGAGATAAACCATAAAGCTACCAGCCACACAGTTAAGTACCATATCAAACTCTTTTCTGGGGATGGCATGAGTGACCACAGGGTGTGGCTCCCAGAACCATAGAGTTTCTGTCATAAGAGTATGAGAGTGGAGTGTGAAAGAGATGTACTTAATAATGAACATACCATTCACTCTTGATAATTCCATCAAGAGATTCGAGGAGATGGTGTGCATTATCAACAGTGAAGCACATTGGAGGTGTAAATAATAGAAGATTTTTCTCTGGTCCTCCCAGGCCAATGATAATTTGTCTTTCTTGGCAGAGCCTACAAAAAGTGGAAGAATAAGGACAATTTTGAAAGTTTCCAGGAATAATCAAGTGATATAAAAACACTTATCAATCTGTATGCCATCAATCACTACCAATTTGTATGCCATCAATCAGGAATTCAGATTTTTCTAGGTATATTTTTTGGTCACCATGTTCTGCTAAAAATGGAATTGTTTAACTGATTCACATCCAATGACATTACATCATATTTAAACTGTTCCAATGAAGTACTAGTATGCTACTGTAAATGGATGGGTCAATGAAAGTGACTTTTTTGATGCAAAGTTCCCTTAAGAAACCCATATGGTTCCAATGGCATACAAGAACATCATTGGTGAATTGATCAGTTTAAATATTTTGAACTAGTATGTCATTGGATGAGAATGAAGGAAGGTAGGAAGGAACCACAAAAGATTTTTGTTCATGTGGATGATTACCCATCCAGACAAAACCATTCAGTTTCCTGAATTCCAGATTAACAAGAGTTTACTGTTCTTTGAACATAAGCAGTGAAGCCTGGCAGCAGGCATTCCATTAATATTTATGGAGTACTGATGGAACACCTATGGCATGTACTGAAAATGGCAATTTGTTTAGCATCAGCATCTCCACCCTTCAACACACAATCAGAAAATAAAAGATGCTTACAAAGAATTTTCCTTAAAATCCTACAACTTTGAAGCATGATGTTACATCCTAGAGATCTTTCAGAAAAAGACAACTCAACTTAGAGGCACATAGCAGTGCACTTTTGGGCACTGTAATTAGAAATCAGAACATTGGCATGGAATTTAAAAAATTTTGAAATTCAGAAGAATTAATTTAAGTTAAATAGGAATTCAAAGAAGTTTGTGAATCCCTGGTCTACTAAACATACCTTTGAGCAACTCGTTGGGCCAGTATGGGGTTGGGGACTCTGTCAGATCCAGGTACAATAACATCCAGGCCAAGGTATAGCCCTCTCCCACTGATCTGCCCAATGCAAGAACAGGACTCTTTCAAGGCAATGAAGCCAGCCTTCAATATGCCTCCAACAGAATGAGCAGAAGCCAGTAGATTCTCATCAGATATGATATTCATGACACTGAGTCCAATTCGACATGCCACTGGGTTGCCACCAAACTATGCAAAATAAAAAACAATAAAGACATAGTAAAGCACATCAGAATAATAAAAAAAATACTCAATCTGAATGAGATATGGGAACATACAGTAGAGAGATACTCTTGAACAGATGATGCAATGTGTCTTGATGTAATGACAGCAGCCAGAGGAAAGCCATTCCCTAATCCACCTCCAATGCTAAGAACATCTGGAAGAATGTCATGAGACTGAAAGCCCCACATGGAATCTCCAAGTCGACCGAGTCCTGTTCGGCTCTCATTCATCACACAGAGTCCTCCCATGGCATGTACCATACTGGATGGTAAAAATGACAATATGGTATGACATTATTTTTTGAGACAATTCAACAGATATGATTAAAAAAAGAAACTTCCACTCTTCTTCGAAAAGGAAATAATACATTTTATAGTCCCTATGTTTCATGGCTGTTACCAAAAGAAAGCAGGGGCACCTTAGGTTTTTTACTAAAGCAACTGTTGCAGTTGAGGAATGCTGTACTCAAGTAGCAAAGTAGCAACCAGAGGAAATCCATTCTCTAATCCACCTCCAATGCTAAGAACATCTGGAAGAAAGAATGACAAGAAACCTACACTCTCTGAAGCAGTGGTGCACAACCTTTTCCCCCTAGAGGGCCAAATTCAGATTTCAGCTCATATTCACAGGGTTCGAGGGCCTGCAGCCCTCAAACATGAGCCGAAATAAGCCACATAAATATGGATCTTTAGAGAGTAGAGGCATCCAAAGGGTCCCTAAAAAGGTCTTCACAGGCCGCATGCGGCCCATGGTCCACAGCATCACTGCTCTAGAGTCTCTGACCCATAGTGGAGTGACTTCATGACAAATCAACCAATCAGTAACATAGCACCCTACCATCTCTGATTCCAATTATATTTGACAGATATCGTTCTGCTCCTAAAACCCAAAATATTACATTTTAGCTTCATCAGATCAGGTCAAATACAATGGAGGGGGTCAAATATCATGGTCACCAGCTGAGCAATTTGAATAGCCCAGCAGCTCAAGAACTATTTAACCCAACAAATCCCAGGGTGCCAATATATTGGCTCTTCATACAGGGATACAATTCTGCTTGGGAGCAAAAGGGTTAAGCTAGAGCATTGAGTAAGGTGTCAATTCACCTGAGATTACATAAAGGACTTTATGATCGGCATAAAAATTTCACTCAAGCAAAAAACACAATCACGTATTGACAAAAAATCTTTGAAATTGGGGAGGAGTAAGCAGACTTTCATAATGGAGCTCTATGATGCAAACTTTGGGTATGCATATCATGAAAAGGCACCTAATTAGGTAAGGGCCACTCACATGTCCACTACTGCATTAACAACCTCTTCATTGTGACAATGGGATTTTGTGATCAATCTTGCAGTTTTCTAGATACTGAGAGGAAGAATTGACTAGTATTTGCTGAAGTACTTCATGGCACTATCATTAGAAGCAGGTCAATGAGTGTAAGTGGTGGATACAGACATTATTTGAATGGGGGTGCTTCCCTCCCTCCTACTGTCTTTTTTATTTTTCATCTGCAATAAAATCTGGAGATCCATTTCATGGGCCTCAACCAAAAAAATGTATGCAGTTTTAAAACATTATAAAATAGACTGCAAACCAGGCCATGAAGGGAGGGCAGTTGCCCCTCCAACCCCCCCCCCCTCCTTAGATTCATCACTGATGGATGCAAGCTATCAATTTAAAGTTTATGTCTGTGACAGCAAGAATTTCAAAATAAGAGTGTATCATACCAGCATCTTACTTACCCTTTGTTGCATATGAGCAAACTACTGGAGATAATGACTTGAAATTTTGGCATTTCTCACTTGAGCTGCACAATTGCTGGGAAAATTTTTTATTTAAAAGTCAAGGACATCAATAGCCTGGAATCATTTGTCCACATCATTAAATAATGGGTGCAGTATTTTCAGCTTCCACCCATTCTTGCAGTGTCCACATTTCTGGATATTTTTAAAATTTCATTTTACAGCCCCCATTCTAAACAACTTTTACTGGGACATCATTCTCACATTTGTGGACATCTTAACTACCTGAATAAAATCAGAAACAGAATACCTTGCTGCTCTCAAGTTTTTCATGCATGTTTTCTTTTAACATGTCAATACCCCTGGTGGCCTTAGGTGGAGGTCTCTCCCATCATTTAACCCTTTGAGGAGTGAGTTTTCTTAACACTTTCAATAGTATGAAGATACTGATACGTTTATACTCCTGAAAGGGGTTAATTTAATATGCACTGAACAATTTTTGAAATTGTTCCTAAAGCACTGGAATGTTCTTCTGAGAGAACAAATTTACCTGTGGAACAACAAAAAGTTTTTCACTAACATGTTACTGGCTACTATAGCTCCTAAACTTGCTTTTCTACATTTTCGGACATCAGGTATTAATGGTATGTATAAATCTTTTGAATTTCAAAATTAATTTTAAAAATATGAAAATGCAGATTATTTTATTCTAAGATTGCATTGCAAAAAAAATATGTTAAGTATAATAAAACCATACTTGTTCAGACTAAACGTAAGTTTGAACACTGTAACTGGTATTACAAAACCAAGCATTCATGAGCTTTCCCCCAAAAAGTTTTTTCCTACTAAAAAGAACTGTTTCTGAGAGTGGCCTTGCAAAATCTTTGTTTTACAACAATTTATTGTATGGTGTCCAAACTTGGATGATTTACCTTACATGTTATTAAATGTATTAACATTCCAATGTCAGTGACACATACCACTACACAACAACCTCCATGTACCTCCACCAATGAAATATGTGCCTGTAGGCACATATTTCATTGGTGGAGGTGCATGGAGGAGAAAAATCAAGGATTCCTTATTAGAATGTAAGAGGATTCAAGCATGATGTCCAGTGCCATTGACATGTGCCTGGAAGTTTTAGGGCTATAGTTATAGTCCACTCTCTGTGAACATGCAAGATGTTGAAACATGGTTTCCCTGAATGCATGATGTTTATGTATATGGACAAACAAGCTTAGGAACTACAATATCCAAAACATGCCAATGAAGAACTTGTTGTTTCTCCATAGGTTGATCTCTCAGAAGAATATTCCAGTGCTTTAGGAACAATTTCAAAAAATTTTCTATACATATTAAATTAAATGATGGGAGAGAACTCCACCTATGGCCACCAGGGGATTGATAAATCAAAAGAAAACATGCATGAGAAAGTAAAGAGTGGCAGGGTACACCATCTCTGATTTTGTTCTGGAAGTTAAAATATCCACAAATATGAGAATGATGTCCTAGTAAAAATTATGTAGAATGGGGGCTGTAATATGAATTTTTTTTAATCTCTGAAAACAGACACTATGCAACAAAGGGTTAAATGCATGGATGATCTAAAGATCACTCCTCATGAACCTTCTCTCAAGCAGAGAGTTCCAATGTTACTAAACACCTTTTACTAGAGCATGTCAGTTCTCACACCTCCTTTACCATTTTAACAGTGTGCCTCTGAACCCTCTCCAGTGCTATTTACCCTTTATAAGGCAATGGCATACACAGGGTGGCCAAAAAAAATGGAACTGAATATGATAATTTTTTTTCATTTCAGGGCAAAATTGGATAATTATCATGCCTCAATATTCTGTTGAGGAGCATGTATAGAGTATTGAACACGATTTTTGAAGCTATGGATCGAGCCAAATAGTCCAAATGTGTGCATAAATAAATAAAATCATCCTTACTTATATTGTAGTTTCAGTTACCTTTTTTTTGGTCCACCCTGTACATATCTACAACTTTTCTGATTTTTTACAAAGCAAAGTACAATTTGTTGCAACCTGCTCCTGGAATCAAGGTACTCCTGGAGTTGAAGCTGTTCCTGACAAATGTCAGGAGTATGCTGACTCCAGGGGCAGGTTGCAATAAATGGTGCACATCATTGAAAAAACAAAGTTTGTGGCAATACCCAGGTTATGTCAAAATTACCTCAGAATTTTAAGAGACATTAGACACTGTTTATAATGGTTCTCTAATAGTAAATTTATTAATTTAAATACACAAATGAAACTGGTATTTACAAAGTAAATTTAATTTCTAGAGGTAATTATTGATCATTATTGGGAATTTAGTCAATCAAACTTTTTCACCTCTGAAATGAGAAAAAGAATTACATCAATACTTTACTAGGTAATTTTGACACAACCTGTATTCACCATTGCCCCATTAAGGGTTAAATTCATTTTTTTTGCACAGGCCTCCAAAATTAAAAAAATATTCTTAACCCTTTCAGGCCTATGGTGGTACTGGTACAGCCAGCTAGAGCTGCCACTACCATCCTATGGCCATACTGGTACAGCCACAACATTTCACATGCTGCAACATTGCTTTCACTAGTCCCATGCTGCTCCTGAATGCAGGAGAGTTGTAGTAGCATCCTAATATACATCTCACACCATCTAGCAGTGATTTTTATTTTTATTTTTAGAGCTTATAAATATTAACATTTAAAATTCCACACATGCAAACACACAACACACTGAGAAAAGAAGCACCAAGACAGGCAATTTATTTGCACTGCCTGGGACAAAAGCATTCTGTGTGCATTCTTGTTTTATAGAGTACCACACTCTGAACCACTACTAAGGTAAGAAGAACCTAAATAAAAAATTTCACTGCAATATATTTAATTGTTTTGAGTTATGACAATAAAATCCAAGCACTGCACTTAAAAGTTACTCTTTGGAAAAGAACTCTGGCCAGGGCAAAAGATGCACTTTAAAAATCTTTGCCCTGAAAGGATTAATGAGATTTCTCAGAGCTGTTTACCATGGGAGACTATTCATGAGCTTGTATTGGTAATCTGTTGCTGGGTGAAGCATAAAATCACATAAAATCCTATCACATTTAGCTACTCCTACCTGGGGGTGCTCAAATAAATTTTGCTCTTCATTTATCACAGCCTAAATGTTTCTCTCCAATTTTACTTCCCCCTTGTAAAATCCATTACAACCTATCATTATACAGGGTGTCCCAAAAGGTATGGAAACATTTCAAGAATTAATATCTCACTAAATTATGCTTCAAATAAAATGATGAAAACAGTAAAATGAAGTGTGACTCAAAACATTTTTCAACCTGTTATTGCAATTCCACACGGGCACTATTTGTGGCTCTGTAGGCATCTAAACAATGTTCAAGCTCTTACCACAACTTACACAGAGTGTCATGTATAACTGTCTGGATAGCTGCAACAATTCTGTTCTTCAGATTAGATTGGAGATTGCTTGCTCAAGAAAAGTTGACAGTGTCCTTGACATAGCCCCACAAGAAAAAAAAATTCAAGAGGGATGGGTTCAGGCACAATTAAAGTCTAATTTTTCAAGATGTTGCAGCTCCACATTTTAGCAAGCTAAGGCATGGAAAAAAAAAACAAAAAAAAAAAACAGATCTGTGGATTGGACAAAGCAGGTTCATTCCATGGCCACCAAGACCACCTGCACTAACCCTAGAGGGTTCTTTCTTGTGGGCTACATCAAGGACATCACTTCCTGGAGAAAAATAGACAACTGATCAAGATCCAAAGAACAGAATCGTCCAAGCTATCCTGAAAGTTATGCCTAACACTCTGGAAAAAAGGTGTGGTAAGAGCTGGAACATTGCTTAGACATCTACAGACTCACAAATGGTGCCCATGTGGAATTGCAATAACAGGTTGAAAAATGTTTGAGTTGCACTCCATTTTACTGTTTTCATCATTTTATTTGAGGCATTATTTAGAGAGATATCAAATTTTTAAATGTTTCCATACCTTTTGGGACACCCTGTATAATATTACCAATGCAAAGATTCACACTGATACTTTTACTGAACTTAATGAACAAATTTTTATTCAACTTGTCCAAAAGTTGAAATCCCTCTCAGCTCTCACTTTGTTCTTCTCCCCCAAGATGGGATTAATAGAGAAACCTACTTTTTAACTGTCAGTAAATTTACTGACTTCACACAAGGGCTTCATCCTTGATTGTTGATGTGAACAACAAAGAGAAATGGTCCTGGATGGAGTTGAGGTAGACTCCATTCATGACCCCAATTTCCACCGACATTTCCCCCTATTTGAACTGAGTCTCCGCTTGCTTCCTTGCAAACCATTACTTACCCAGTTACTCAAGTTATATGGGATTACATGTGCCTTCAATTTAGCTCTTATGAGATATAGTATTAAAAGCTTTCATGAAGTCCAAGTAAATTATAATGATGGGATCTTTATCCATTGGAACTGTCACTCATTTGTAAAAAAAAAACTAGCTGATTAGTAAGACAAGAATCATGCCTCCTAATGCATCATTGAGATTCCTGAAAGAGCAACTTCTCCAAAAACAACTCCAGGATGCAATCCCTTAGAATAATCAGTGGAATGCTCCACAAAAGTTGGTTAGGTCTTAACATCATTTTAGATAGGATGCAGCAAGCAAGGTTCAGGAGGATTCCAATAATTCACATTGATGTATGTTACATGTAACGTTAGTAAAATTAGATCAATACCAATGATCTGCCTTTAGGATCCAATAGGCTTAGGAATATCAATATGATAGGCCTACCCACCTCTGATGAATAGCCCTATTGATATTAGAAATCTGACCTATATATATTTTTCAAGTATCCAGGAGACAGTTCCAGTTGTCCAGCAGCTGAAAGAATTGGCTCACTCCATAAGCAGCTGAAATGCCTCCCCTCCCCAAGGGCATTCTTAAGTGTCTGGTAAGACTCCTCCAAGTACTTCTCTACTACATGGAGATTTTTAAATTAAGCAAGATATCCATCAATTGAACTCACCAATTCATTAAAATTGGCATATGGGGAATTCTCCATACCTGCATTGGGATCATTACTTTGATGTTTGCCTCTGTAAAGATTGGGACAAGGGAGTGGAATGAGGTGCTTTCTCCCATTCCCAAGGATGGCGAACGTAAGGTCATGGGATTCACAGCTGAATGCTATGACATCATCATGGCCTGTGAAACAACTACACAGCCAGAGAGCTAGATCTCTAGCCTCTGCATCTGAAAAAAAAATTCAGCAATGCAAGGAATCCAAATCAACACAAACAAGATAACCAAAAACAACAGATTCCAAGCAACAAATTTTGTTTGCATTGCTTCAGACATAGCACAGGAACATCATGAAACATAGTTTCAGTGGTAAATAATATATCTGTTATCAATCAATCAATTGCTTTGAAAGTTTTTTCTTTGCTTTTGCCTTCTATCTGAAATTTTTTTGCCCCAGTGGAGAATTGCTATCCTCATAACCTATCTGACACCTGATAGAAGTTCTGACATGAACCAAACCACAATTCCAGGAGAAAAGCCAAGGTTTTTTCAAAGATTTTCTAAACATGACAGAAAATAACTTTCTTACATTTGTTTGATAAGGACCTCATATTGTACAACACACATCCAACATGTCCAATGCTTCCTCAAATAATAATGTCCAACAATGATTTAATTCTGCTATGGTGATACCAGTTTTAACATTACAATCTCAAATAATAAGCTAGTGTGCTTTGAATCCATATTTGCATTGCTGATTGCACATCAGCAATGCATCATTGTGATGGGCAAACAGCTAATGTTTCAAGCTGAGGTTTTATACAAGCTCTAACATACAAGTCTTGCATAAGGTTCAATGCATTGGTTGTATTTCTTTCACATTTTGCAGGAGCTAAATAACCATTACTGCTTTTAAACATCCACCAAGGGGCATGTTTGATGTGCTTGAACAGCCTCCAGGCGCTACAGTCACAAACCAACTGTGTTACTCATCATCATGGATATGTATGCCCACTGGACCAAAAAGATGCTACTACATCAAATTTTGGTGCAGAAGAAATAGTTTCCTGTTACTTTTTGGAATACCACATGTACCAATGTTGCACATTGATAGCCCCCCCCCTGTCCACAGCCTAAACATTAAGAGATAGGGAAAAACTCATACATCATGAGAAAGCGCATTCATTTTTTAATCTAATCACGTACTTCTAGTAATTTGTGTGAACCCTGACTGCATTACTGACAGCTTTAAGACAAGCAGGGTAAGATGAAAAGAGGCACTTAAATAGTTCCACGTCATCTTTCATGTCCTTCAACACTCTTGATGATGTTACTTGGCAAGTATTCTTGGGAGAATCCATGCTACTTTCCCTCCAGATGCATGAGCCTCAACTTAACCTTTCAGAATCACTCCCAAGGTTCTCAGCCACATTCAGATCAGGAGAATTACCAGGCCATTCAACATTTCCAAAGAAATCGATCCTTGATTCTTTCACTGTTAGCTGTTTGGTCAAAGCTTTGAAAAATAGGACTTCATCAGGCAGAAGTTGAATGTTTACTCTTTTTTGAAATCCATGAATGGGTAATGAATTCAGCTCCAGCATCTCAAGCTTCTTGAAACACAATAGCACAAATGCAATCATTGAATTTAAGTTCTTCACCATCATATGAAATCAGAAACAAGAAAATGGGATTGAATAGAATCAAAATGATGTTTGACGCGATGTTGTCGTCAAGGATGTGTTGCTCGATTCATGCTACTAGGATGGAAGACAGCACTTTGTAGACAGTTGGCAGGCAGGTGATGGGCCTGTAATTCCGAGGTAGCTCAGTTTCGGTGTTTTTCAGCAGTAGGTAGGTGACTCCTGTGGTAAGCCAATCCGGCACCTCAGAGGGATCCATCACTACTTTCTGCATTTCTCTGGTGAGTTGTTCATGTAGTGATGTTAACTGCTTCAACCAGAAGTTTGGAAGACGGTCGTGTCCCAGGCTCTTCCAGTTTGCTGTTTGTTTGAGTGCCTTCTTCAGATCAGATGTTGTAATCTGGGGGTCGCTCATTTTGGGAATACCTGTTAACTCCCTCTGACATCGGAGCCATGTGGCATCAACGTTGTGGTTTACCAGGCACTCCATGATATTCAACCAGAATTCTTCCACTTCTGCCTTGCCAGGAATCTTCTTCATTTCTATGGGTTTTGCTCCCAGTTCCCAGTAGAATAGCTTCTGGTTGTTCATGAAGCGCTTGTTATGCCAGAAGTAATTGACCCTTTTCATGTACCGCCTTATCCTCAGGGCCCAAGCTTGGATCTTCATCTTCAAGTTCTCTTTGGCAGTTGGGAGATCAGAATCGGAGGTGATCTTGTACTTGGGGCACAGCCGCTTGTAGGTCAGCATCACTTTCCAGGATGTGTTTCCCTTCTTGGTCTCCTGAAGGGTGCTGAGGTCTCACCTTGCTGCATTGATCCGACTTTGGAGGCGCCTCTTCCAAGGTGAAATCGAAGAAGGGCACTTCTCAGGTATGGGGGTCAGTTTTTCTGGTCCTTGCAATTTCTGATGGGTGGTAATGGCAGCTGCAAAGGCTCGGTGGTTAAGCTCAGTCAGATCGCAGTCTGCAAGGTCGCAGGAGCTGATGATCTGGTTGATCTCCTCGATGTCTTTGGAGATGGCATGGTTGAACTTTAGGGGTCTTAGTCAGGGTCGATCGAACATCTGTAGGTACCGCAGATCTTCTAGATGGTCGAGGAAGGTATTTCTCAGTTCTTCAGAAGGTGCTTCTAGCTCTGAGGAAGCCTCAATTGCCCTCAGTGGAACTGAAGTCTCTTCAGGTGTTGCCTCCGTTTTCAGGTACCTCTCGTACTGGTGTGATGGGCTGGAGGGTGTTCAGAACTTCCTGTTTGATGTGTGAAAGTGGAAGTAGAACAGTTGTGGGGAATGAAGACCACCATCATTCCAATCATTATAGGCACAACTGGCTTCATTCTGAAAGACTTCAAGGGACATGTCAGGAAGCTGGAGTGTGAAATATCACTCAATATCCTCCAGCATACAGCAATCTTGGGCATGGCCAGCATCCTCCACCGTGTCCTTCAGAATTAGGCGAGTATGAAGTCTGGGATGTAGTTCATCCCCCTCATATCTCAAATACCGGCAGTTGCCATGGAGGGATTTATTATATATATATATATATATATATGGGTAGGGAAATTTTGGAGTGGGTTAATGACCTGCGGCGAAGTAATATGCAAGGTTGCCAAGAGATGGTACTTTATATCACGATCCTGTACTAGACAGGACAAGGGAACTCAAGTCAGAGGTTGGCTGTGCATGGAATCGAACCCATGACACCACATCATTAATACAATCATCAGCTCCTTAATGCAAAGGAATTCAAAACTTGATCAACTTACCAGAATTGGCCAGGAAGCATACATCAAGACCTTCGGGTAAAGACTCTCTCAAAGCTTTCGTAAATCTTGAAGTGAAGTCACTCAAGAAACCTTGAGCATGGCTGAGCTGAGACAGCTGATGTTGAGCTGCTGTCAGAATCCGTGGATGGCAATGTCCAACTAGTAATGAAGAAAATGGGGGGGGGAAAGGTTTAATCTTTTCACAGGATTAAGCCTGTGTGAAAATAAGTTGGCAATATGATTGAGTTGGTATTAATGTAAAATTAATTATCAATTTTAATATAATAATTTTAATTTTAATAATCAGAAGTACAGGGTGCACTGAAATTCCCTATGGATACTAGTAATGAAGAATATGGGGTTTTGAGATAAGGGCTAAGAAAGTAAACACTAAATATTAATGAACATGAATTTATTACCAAAGAAGCATATAAGCAGAACTAAAACTAGTCATCATATGGATCAATTCATTGTTATTCATAAGAATGCACAGTTCTGTGTGTCACCAGGTGTGCCTGTGAATTTTAAAGAGTACTCTTATCATTTGTTCTGAAAGCACTTCTGATAGCATCTTGAACTTCAGTAGCAGTTTTAGATTTTTGGGCTAACACCATTGCTTTAATTATGCCCAAGAGAGCATTATAATAATTTAAAAAATTAATAAGTAATATGTCATCATACTATGCTTTCAAATTCATGGGGAATTCTGGGACACCCTAAAGCAGTGGTTCTCAACCTGGGAGGTGTCACCCCCCGAATGCATGAAGGTTCAATGGGAGTAAAAGGAAGGTTGAGAACCACTGCCCTAAAGGATCTAGCAAGTTGGTCAATAATAACCTCAGAGCTATAGCTATCATCAGTGGAGATATAGATTGCTGCATATACAAGGTCATCTAAAAGCCACTTTATTGTCTAGTCAGCTGAGGAGTGCACATGGAGTGACATAAGATGGGAAAATACCAATTTTGAATTTTGGAATTTGATTGGACCAATTTCACTTGTGGAAGTTGATGTTAGAAGTGGAGTTGTAAATTTAAAAAAGCAGGCATTATGACTGCATTATCATCATATCATGTGCTTTGCAACAGCAAGACATGGCCCATGTGATCATATGGGGTGGGCCAAAAAAACACTTGGGCTTTTATCAGTTCACAGCACTGGTCCCCAAGTTTGCTAAAATTGCAATAGTGCCTCTGTATAAAACATTCATTCAGCTTTGCCATGATGTTAAAAAAAATAAAAATTTGCAGCATAACTTTCATGCAGTTAAATAAAGAGTATATGAGGTGGCGGTGGAAAAGTGAACAACGTCCTAGCAAGATTGCAAATGTGCAAGCAAAGGAACGAATGTCACCTGGAGTACTTCTTAATGGGTCCTAACACATGCACTTTTCATGCACTACCTGTGGTACATTGTGCATAACTGCATTGGAATGACAGAATGGATCATTAATTTTTTTTAATCAGTGGAAAGCTGGATAATGTTCTACATAGATATGCTATTGCAATAATATCAAACTAAAAAAAATATGCTGGGAAGTACGAAAAGATAACTGAACATTTTTGCCAACCCTGTAGAAAGGGCTCAATCTGGGTTCCAATTAGTAATCAGGTTGAGGAAAAAGGATTGTCGGTTTTTGGAGTGCCAACTTTGAAAGCTCATTGGACGTCGTTGCACTTGTTTCATACCATGTGTTATACAGTATATTAAATTGTAGCTTGTTTTGTCGTGTATTACGTGCATGTAGTTTTACTTTCATTATGTTAGACATGCGTTGTCTTTCAGCACTAGGAATAAGAATGATATAGGAGCTAATTCAGGTGTGCCTTTTCTACGAGTTTAAGCTAGGCCATAACGCAGCTTTGGCTTCCCGCAACATTATCCAAGCATGGGGCAAGGACTCAGGGCCGTTTCTGGGGATCTTGACGCCCAGGACAAGCAGTTCCAATGGCGCCCCCCCTCTCCCTCTTTACCCCCGCTGGCGCCCCGAGCGATCGCCCGCCCCTAGAAACGGCCCTGCAAGGACTCCGTCACGGAACGCAATGCCCAGCGCTGGTATCAAAGGTTCCGTTCGGGTGACACAAGCCTTCAAGATGAACCCCACTCTGGCCGTTCATCCATCGCCGACAACGATGGTCTCAAGTCGCTGATTAAGTCAGACCCCTGCCAGACGGTCCGATAACTCGCGACGATTCTCAACGTTGACGCCAAGACAGTTTCCAACCATCTGCGGGACATCGGCAAGGTCCGCAAGCTCGAGAAGTGGGTCCCCCACGAATGGAGCGAAAAGAACAAAAATCAACGTCGCGCGATCTGCACTTCGCTGCTTCTGTGGAACAAGCATGAGCCGTTCTTCGACCGAATCACGATGTGCAATGAAAAATGGATCATGTATGACTATTCTCGACGCTCGGGCCAATGGGTGGACCGCGATGACCCGCCAGCAAAGGTGCCGAAACGCATCCTCCACCCAAGGAAGGTCATGGTTACCGTTTGGTGGTCTATGGCTGGCGTCATCCACTACAATTTTCTCAAACCTGGTGACACTATCCCTGCCGAGGTGTACTGTCGCCAACTTATCATCGTCGAGGAAGAATTGTGGCAGAAACAGTCCGCATTGGCCAACCGTAAAGTCCCCCTCCTCTTGCACGACAATGCCTGCCCTCATACTGCAAAGATGACAAACCAGAAGCTCAAGGAATTAGGCTATGAGACACTCCCCCACCTGCCATATTCATCTGATGTGTCCCCCACTGATTACCACTTCTTCAGGTCCCTAGACAATTTCTTGCGGGAGAAGCGCTTCACCAAACATGGTGGGGTCGAAAAGGAGTTCAATGACTTCGTCGCGTCCAGAGACCCCGAATTCTTCAAGTCCAGCATCAATAAAACTGGGGGAACGTTGGGAAAAGGTTGTTGAACCAGATGGCTCTTACTTCGATGAACTAAGTTGATTCTGTGACGCGACTTCCAACGTTGCGGTAAAAAAACAAAAACAAAAAAAACCGACAATACTTTTTCCACAACCTGATAGAAGTTTCTATGCACTAGGCACATTCTACACCACTGCACATGGCATTTCTCGAGAAATGAGGGGATCTCTCCCTGTGTATGCTATCTCTCAATTCAGAAGTGTATTAACTCTTTCCAGCCCAGTGGGTCCATATGAAGCCATTGGTTTTATTAGGATGTAGCTATTTTCATTTTTCCCATTGTCCCCACTTGCACCCATGTGTGCCTTGTCATGGATGTCAACTTAGGGGGTGGCAGCACTTGAGATGCTGTCAGATTTCAGTTAACTTCAGCTGTCATTTTCTACTTAAAACTCCTGTAAACGATGTATGTCATTGGAATACTTTACTTAAATTGGGCTTCAAAAGGTTAAGAGAGTGTCTATAATGGCTTTATCTCCACTGACAGGTCATTTGACATGATAGCAGCATATAAACACTGTCTCTTAATTTTTTCTTATAAGCATCAGCTTCTACATAGTGAATTTGTTTTAATACTGAATTCTTCTGGTCTTACCTCACTTTGTACATACTCCTCAATAGCCTGATCAATAAAATTAACTTTAGGAAGACCCTGTTGGTGAGGTATAAAAATTGTACAGGGTATAAAGGCTTTTCCCTTCAAAACCAACACTACCTTTCGAAAGTACTATATGCTTCTGGACTTGGACACGTCCTTCTCTACTCTCTTTGATCCTACTAGATTTTCCTAATAGAGGGGCTTGAGATTTCTCTTTCCATTCCATCTTCAGCAAATGATTACAAATCTCCTTCTAAAACTTCAAAGAATTTATTTATTATAACAAGAATTGATGAGGCATGAGATGGTCAGGAGAGGAAAATAAGAATGATATAGGAGCTAATTCAGGTGTGCCTTTTCTACGAGTTTAAGCTAGGCCATAACGCAGCTTTGGCTTCCCGCAACATTATCCAAGCATGGGGCAAGGACTCAGGGCCGTTTCTGGGGATGTTGGCGCCCAGGGCAAGCAGTTCCAATGGCTTACCTCACTTTGTACATACTCCTCAATAGCCTGATCAATAAAATTAACTTTAGGAAGACCCTGTTGGTGAGGTATAAAAATTGTACAGGGTATAAAGGCTTTTCCCTTCAAAACCTACACTACCTTTCGAAAGTACTATATGCTTCTGGACTTGGACACGTCCTTCTCTACTCTCTTTGATCCTACTAGATTTTCCTATCTCCCCGAACTCTAAAGAGAAAGGTAAGGTAGAAGTCGTTTACTAATGTTTAGAGGAAGATTTTGAAGTTTCTTAAATAAATAATATTGTTCTTAACTACTCCGTACTCTACCAGTCCTCTCCTTTGTGCATCTCCCAGTCAGTGATGGGGAATAATGTACAATGGGTAATAATGTTACTGCAATATGCTGTTTTTGCCTGAACAGAGTAACTACAAATTACTATTCTGAAATACATTTAGCATTGTTAATGAGTTTCTGAAATAGTAAAGTGAAAAGTTGTTTACATATCATGGAAACAAATATGTACTGGCCCTGCCTAGGGTTTTCTTCCTGCATTACCTGTCAGCTAGTATGGTGTTCTCAGTTAGCAATATGAAAGAGAAAAGGCTCATATTTGTGGAATGCCTCTGAAAATCGATGTTTAGCAGGAGCACATCACAACCCTCTCCCATGAAGTGTATTCATATTCTTTGATTATATGTAGATTAGTACAAATGCAAAGGTTATGTAGCCTTCAAGAAGGTAATCTGTGAACACCACTTATAATGTTAATATTAGAGTCATCCTGAGAAGCTGAGCTGGAAGAGAGAGAAATGGCTTATAAATCAATACCAGCAACAAAGTGAACCTCAGAGACTATTAGAATGGTCAATGAAACTTGTCAAAAAAGATAACCCATCATAAAGAAGTCTTGCCACAGAGAAGTTGCATGTGTATTCCACTACAATTTACAAAATCATCAATAAAGACCTGAGGGTGTAAAGGAAGTACAAGCCCCATGTTCATAAACCAAGTCACAGTACAGATAGAAAGACCTACTGCACAAAGCTTGCAATGAGTGCTGTAATGAATGTTGAGCTTGCAAAGCAATGAGTTGTCATCAAGCAGGAAAAAAATGGAATTGTATCCATTATTTCTTCTTGAAAACTTAGACTTACTGTAGATAGTTAAAAGTACAGAAAAGGATCTTTTCCAAAGCTGGGTTTGCCCAGGTTCATATTGTTCCGTACCATTTTCAATCAAAAGCACTAAAATGGTAAAAAAGAGGAACCTCTATGTCGGATTTAAGTCGTTTTCCAATAGGACTTATTAGTTAGTGTACTTCAACGTAGATATCTGGACAACTAGCCTAGTTCAAAGAAGTTCCCCTTACCATGTGCAGAAATGTTAATACAGTCTAAATATTTCTGGCCAGCATCATTGTAGACATACTGTTTTGATCCTCTTGTGATTTTCTTGCAGGGGTCAAACACACCATCTTCAAAATCAAAAAGCTTGTAGCCTTCACCAATAGGACACATCATTCTATTATCACATTGAACTCCATGAGTAGACCTAACAATACACCAGAGATAGGTACAGGGTGAGCCTTGTCCTTTTCATTTTTGTGACTTGCAATGCCAAGCACTTTAAATGGACCAATGTATTCATTAAGAGGAATCTGATCTTTAACAAATATAAAGACAAAGCATGAGTATAGTAGCTTAACCAACTCCAATGTTCAGTCAATCCAAGGTCAAGGTGCTTAGGCCTATACACATTTTATGCCATGCACCAAATGGTTAGTTGTAACAAATCTGCACAATGAGACAGAAACCACAATACAATTATCACTCTTCATCTAAACAATATAAAACATAAGCAGAAGCTTCCTTATGGCATTGGGTATACTACTTTCAAGTAATGAATGAGTTTAACAAGAACCATCAACAAGAAAAAATAGGGCAGGGCATTCTAACCTGCTATTATTCCACCCAGAAAAGTGGATCTCTTGATATTGGCTGACTTTGAGTTCAGGGGGGATCTATGGAAATATGATTCAAGGGTAATATGAATCACCATCTCTAGCATTTACTTAGTTCAGTAAATAAAGGCTGGCCACATGGCCAAAGGAAGCTTTATCCAAACCTGAAATTTTATTCTTATTTTTAGAACTTAATGTCTCTAGAGTCTTTAGGACATGAGTCCTAAAGTGGTCAAATAAAAATATATTTGAAATCTCGGAGAACATGAATTGAATTCAATATAATTTAGAAACCACTGCAGATAAGCTTGCCAAATCTCAGGTAAAGAGCCTATATTTATAATAATTTTTAATGCATGCTCAACCTTGACATGGGATGTTATAATGGGCAGAGATGCCTCCTGACATCCCTACTTAAACTAATAATAAAGCTAATATTGTGTACTTCAACTGTTTTGGCTTATTAACTAAACTCTGGATTATGGACATTGATTTACTTAACCTTGTGTTTTCTAAAAGGGCAATAAAAAGACTGTTAGGTGCCAGTATTCCACCTGAGTTGGATGGCAAGAGGATGAAAAACATTACATTCAAGTGGAATGAAGATGTGAATGGTAACAGTAATTGTNAATTGTATCCATTATTTCTTCTTGAAAACTTAGACTTACTGTAGATAGTTAAAAGTACAGAAAAGGATCTTTTCCAAAGCTGGGTTTGCCCAGGTTGTATAACAAGGCATGGTAAAAGTTAGTTTTCGTGATTTTACCATTTTTTCTCCTTGGAGATACAGCCTAAATTCAGCAAAAGGTTATCCTGAATAATCAATCACATGAAGTTGCATCTATAGACCTGGACTAGCCTAGTTCAAAGAAGTTCCCCTTACCATGTGCAGAAATGTTAACACAGTCTAAATATTTCTGGCCAGCATCATTGTAGATATACTGTTTTGATCCTCTTGTGATTTTCTTGCAGGGGTCAAACACACCATCTTCAAAATCAAAAAGCTTGTTGCCTTCACCAATAGGACACATCATTCTATTATCACATTGAACTCCATGAGTAGACCTAACAATACACCAGAGATAGGTACAGGGTGAGCCTCGTCCTTTTCATTTTTGTGACTTGCAATGCCAAGCACTTTAAATGGACCAATGTATTCATTAAGAGGAATCTGATCTTTAACAAATATGAAGACAAAGCATGAGTATAGTAGCTTAACCAACTCCAATGTTCAGTCAATCCAAGGTCAAGGTGCTTAGGCCTATACACATTTTATGCCATGCACCAAATGGTTAGTTGTAACAAATCTGCACAATGAGACAGAAACCACAATACAATTATCACTCTTCATCTAAACAATATAAAACATAAGCAGAAGCTTCCTTATGGCATTGGGTATACTACTTTCAAGTAATGAATGAGTTTAACAAGAACCATCAACAAGAAAAAATAGGGCAGGGCATTCTAACCTGCTATTATTCCACCCAGAAAAGTGGATCTCTTGATATTGGCTGACTTTGAGTTCAGGGGGGATCTATGGAAATATGATTCAAGGGTAATATGAATCACCATCTCTAGCATTTACTTAGTTCAGTAAATAAAGGCTGGCCACATGGCCAAAGGAAGCTTTATCCAAACCTGAAATTTTATTCTTATTTTTAGAACTTAATGTCTCTAGAGTCTTTAGGACATGAGTCCTAAAGTGGTCAAATAAAAATATATTTGAAATCTCGGAGAACATGAATTGAATTCAATATAATTTAGAAACCACTGCAGATAAGCTTGCCAAATCTCAGGTAAAGAGCCTATATTTATAATAATTTTTAATGCATGCTCAACCTTGACATGGGATGTTATAATGGGCAGAGATGCCTCCTGACATCCCTACTTAAACTAATAATAAAGCTAATATTGTGTACTTCAACTGTTTTGGCTTATTAACTAAACTCTGGATTATGGACATTGATTTACTTAACCTTGTGTTTTCTAAAAGGGCAATAAAAAGACTGTTAGGTGCCAGTATTCCACCTGAGTTGGATGGCAAGAGGATGAAAAACATTACATTCAAGTGGAATGAAGATGTGAATGGTAACAGTAATTGTACAGTTTATGTTGGATTCCTGAGAAAAATTAAGAGTGCAATATAGATGGTCATGACTTTTGGCAGTGGTGAGTTATCATATGTGGCAGTAGTAATCATCAATAATGAACAGCTGAATAATTTCGTGCTGATGGGTCGCAAAGATTGCTCAAAATCATCCCACAAGCAAAGAAAGCACCTGCCTTTACCTTGCATGACATGCATGCGTTCGGTAGGCTGCTAGAAGCTTTAAAAGGTTCGGAGTGATGTTCGAGGTAACAATTCATAGCTCGGTCAATAGACACTGCCAAACGTTGACCGCCTCGGAAATATTGGCCTGGTGAATTTCATACTCACTGCAACGCACCGGTGCGCCACATGGCTGTCAACGTATTAATGGCACTATGTTATGTTACCTTATACCTTTAAGTTTAACAACCAATCCCATATAGATCTAGACCTATGAAATCAGGAACCCAACTTGGCCGATAGTGTTCGTTAGACACATCCACTGTTAATTGGGACTTACGATAGGCCTATGCTGCAATGTGGGTTGGCTAGCAATGAACGCACAAGCACACCCTGCATGAGCGCAAATACGATTGGGGTATCAACTAGGCCTGTGCAAAGATTCCATGCAATTCGTGGAGCATGTGGTCTACAGTAGTACTAAACACCGAAGAACAGCGCCTGAGTAGGTAAGGTTGGACAGTCCGTCAGGGATGGATTGAGAGTGGTGTAGAGACAGTGTTTAATATCAGTGGTGTAGAAATGCGTTCGCCCCCTCCCCCGGGCCGAGGAGAAGTCTCTAGCCCCTCCTCTATTCCTCTTAGTCCCCCTTTGGCGAAACCCTGGCTACGTCACTGCTTAACCCTTTCCCGATCCGTGACGTGATTTAGCAACGTTCCTTTTCCAACAGTTACGGGTTCGTGGCGGATTTTACGTCATGGTGCAGGCTTCTGCCATAATCTGGAATTATCTCGGACTACCAAGCAATACATCTATATGTGTTCGTTTTTCAACTAGATGTCATAACTGTTGTGAAAGGGGCGGTGTTAAATCACGCAACGTACCGGGAAAGGGTTAATTTCCAGGAAATTAAGTGCAAAAGCTTACTGTATATATACCATACGTAAATGGGGAAGGAGGTAAGGGTTAAAGGGGCTTGCCCCACTAAATACCTAGCAAACATAGTAGCGTTGTGGCAGACCTGGCGCGGGAAAATGCGGGGCCCCCTGCGGCAAGACATTGGGCCACCTCTGGGTTCCGAAGATTTGCCCTTCACTTCATTTTCGATTATCGAAGTTACATTAGGAAAAAAAAATGAAAATCACTACAGGCCGATTGCATGAACGATGTTTATTTTAGACATTGATTATCGATAGACATTGTTTAAACACTGTCTACGAAAATATCGGTTAACCGCTGTCTACTTTCGATTGCGTGAACTATCCCTAAGCTATGTTTTCATAGCCAATGGTTAGACGATGGCTAAACAACCCTCATGGTACATATAACACATTCTGACTCCTCGGTTGTCGCGTAATATACTTCGAACTCCACAAAAAAAACGAGCGAATCGAGTGAAAAAAGGAGAACCTTTCCTCAGACTATTAAGTACATTTCCCAGCGCTTGTAAAGGAGAATCTCGCGATAGAGAGAAACACAATGCACTTTCCTTGCACAACAAATAATCATGCCTGGAAACTGGTGAGTTCTCCTTTGACCTTACTCTGTATTTCGATATATCAGAGGTAAAGCCAAGGATTCGTTTTGGACACACGGAGAAATAGGAAATGTGAAATATAGGAGTATCATTTGGGTACAATTGCAAAATGAGGGTATTCGAGAATCGCGTGTGGATCCTGTTCACGTAATGACAACATCAGTAAAAATCATTTCCGCATCGCGCACTGCTTGGACATCGATGAAATAGAAGCATTTGCGATTGATTAAAGTTGTCTGGGCATTCTATTCGAGTACGACAGTCGTCGATGACACCGAACACTCCTGGAAATCCGACAATATCAAATAATTATCTTCGAACAACTACTCCGTTTTTCATCCTGGGAATATAATGAGTGATGCAAATGGGCAATGGCTTGCGCCATTCCATTTCTAGGAATCGACGCCACATAAAATCGAAGGGTCAACACAACATGCAAATCGAAAGGCTTTCATGGTACTCACTTTACTTTCCAGTCATATTAATTAATTACTCAGGGGATGGCTACTTGAACAAATCACGATTCATTGCACACGAACAGTGATTGCTCTTATCTGTCGATGTAAAGTTAAGGGATCCCTTCCACGATCTTCGTTCCTTTCGAGTTGAGCGCGAAGCAGGTCGACATCATACCCTGATCC